CACATTTTTTGGTCATCTCATCAGAATTCAGTCAAAACTATCAACACAGGCATTATATATGAAAAGATCAGATGTGAAATCAAAAGGTTGTCCTAGAAGAAGATGGAGTGATGACATTAAAGTATGTTCACCTCAGCATGGAATAATAGTCATTGCTACCCATCAGAAAATGGATTGCAAACTGTTTATCTCCATGAAACCTATCAGCAAAAGTGTAAATTTATGTTTACGATAATAACAAACATCTTTCCTCTCTGTTTTAAGTGTGCAAAATTCTTCCCTCCCTATTGTGGCTATTTTAGATACACAAATACTTTCTTTGCTGCTATAGGTATATAACATATATACTAAGATGTGTAATGATACAACTGTCCACTGTTTTGTGTAGAAATCTATGATAAGATAAAAAGAAGTTTAATGCTACTATATTCCAGTGCTTTTTTTTTTTTTTTTTTATAGACATCTGTGATGAGATGGGCAGATGTTTAATGCTGCTGTTTTAAATATTTTTCATAGTAATCTATGATAAGATATTCAGAAATCTGATGCTACTGCTTTTTAATATTTTTATTAAAATCTATGATGAGGTAGACATTAAGTTTAAAGCTAATATTTCCCAATATTTATATAGGAGTCTATGAAGACAGACATACGTTTAATGTTGCTTTTCTCCCAATTTTGTTTGGAAGGTGGGGGGTTTGGTGGGGTTGATGTGATAGACAGATAGATGTTAAATGCTTCTATTTTCCAATATTTGAATAGGAATCTGTGATAAGATCGACAGAACTTTAATGCTTATATCAGATATTTGTACATGAATCTGTAATGAGGTTGTCAGAACGCCTGTCCCATAAGACCATGAGAGGACTGAGAGCTCCATTTATTCAAGGAACATATGAGAAAGTCTCATATGTGAAATCCTTTGGCCACATTGAAGACTCTGGGTTTGACATTCCTAGCATGTACACAAACTACATAGTGGCTGCTTTCTGCAAATAACTTTTATTTTTTGGCCAGATTCCCTTTACACATGACACTGAAACACTGTTATTTCTACAAACTCTTTTGTGAACTATATTGTGGCTTATAATACATGCAGTCCTTTGAAACCCATTTCCTGAAACCATTTACCATTGTTAAATCTTACTGATCATTTCCCCACATCTAAACTCACAGATTACCAGAGGTTACTGAGAAAGACATTGGAATGAAATCACTGGTAAAATGATTATATTTATCCTAATGCAAGCCCTTTTGTGTGTGGTGCCCTGGGGGGGGGGGGGGGGGGGGGGGGGGGGTGGGGGGGGGGGGGGGGGGGGGGTGGTATAAAGAATCTGGAAAATATACAACACTGAAGAGGAAACAGATGTTGACTTTCAATCATTTTGCAACTGGTACTATTAGCGTGGTAACTATCCACTGGGGGATGGAGCATGTGTGGGAATGTTCTAAGTGCAGTGATGTCAATTCTTCATTCATTCTGACAAGCTGCAGAGAGAGCTCTGATGAGATACAGCACAATATGTCTGGAAATAAACTGTGCAATTTACTGGTTATGTTCGCAATATTTAAAAATGAAAGTGTTGGCTCCCATCTAGAAGTACGAGTCATTAACTGCTTCTCCTTAGGTTGCTTCATGTAATCATCTGGTAGAAACTGTTAAATATTGTTGAGAACACTTTTAACTAACACACAGTTTAAAATGTCATGTTAAAAAACAAACATTGTCTATTAATCTGAACTTTTTTGGAAGTTATCATAAGGCAGTCACTAGCAAGCCTGGCTGCCAGCGCCGAAGGATTCAAGCTTCATCAAACGAGATTCAATAAACTGATGTTGGGTCCACATCAGTTCAACATGAAATAGGCACCAAGAAATGTCCTGGGAAGCAAAGGCTGTCAGTGTCTTGAAGACATCACCCACAGATTGCCTAGTATAAAAATATGTGTATATCACCAAATTCCCATGAGAAAGGGGTCTTTTTAAAATGTAAAGGATTCAAGCTTCATCAAACGAGATTCATTAAATTGATCTTGGGTCCACATCAGTTCAACATAAAATAGGCACCAAGAAATGTCCTGGGAAGCAAAGGTTGTCAGTGTCTTGAAGACATCACCCACAGATTGCCTAGTATAAAAATATGTGTACATCACCAAATTCCCATGAGAAAGGGGTCTTTTTAAAATGTAAAGGATTCAAGCTTCATCAAACGAGATTCATTAAATTGATCTTGGGTCCACATCAGTTCAACATAAAATAGGCACCAAGAAATGTCCTGGGAAGCAAAGGTTGTCAGTGTCTTGAAGACATCACCCACAGATTGCCTAGTATAAAAAAATATGTGTATATCACCAAATTCCCATGAGAAAGGGGTCTTTGTAAAATGTAAAAAGGTGTTCTTTCTCCCGTCTGAACTTTATAGCATCTCTACTGGTATCTCTACTGGAACTACTTTAGTTAAAACAAATAAACAAACAATCTGACAAAACATGTTAATTACAATCAGGAGAGTTATCTTTACAGCCCTATTGTGTCTCTGTGCACTTATAAATTATTATTAGGGCTGTACTGAATAGTGATTTTCACTATTCGGACGAATATGAATAACTGTGTAGTGTGTAGCGTATAATATATATCTAAAAAAAAAAAAAAAAAACACATTCATATTGTAAAATGTACGCTGAACATTTACTTCACATAAAGTAGCACAGAATAGTCATCATCTTCTTTAGCATTCTGAGCCCTTGAGGTTTACTGCTGCAGATGTCACTCGTCTCCATTCATCTCTCTGGCTGGCCTTCTCTTCACAAATTGTGACACCAGTGGTTTGCAGGTTTGGCTGGACATTATCTCTTGAACTTTTTTTGTCTGCCTCGTGGTCTATGACCATTCCTCTCTCAGGTGTATACAGTTTTTACTTCTCTGTCTTCTGACATTCTTTCAATATGCCCCAACCATTTTAGTCTGTTAGCTCTCATGATGCCAGTGATCAATGGCGATTTAAACAGATTATGTGTTACGTTGTTGTTTCTCACTTTCCATTACCTGCTGTAAGCATCTTTGATGGGTCCAAAAATTTGTCGTAAAACTGTTTTCGAAAACCTGTAATAAGGCCTCATCTCTTTTATTTCTGCTTCATCTTTCAGAGCCATATAAAACGACTGGTCTTGTCAACATTTTATATATTTTGATCTTGGTGTTGCGAGACAGACACTTTGACTTTAGCAGATGTTGAAGGGCATAGTATACTTTTTTTTTAGATTGTATTTCTTCTCTCAGCATGTTGGAGCTGTTGAAGTTTGCACAGAGTACTTATATATGTTTCTGTTCATTTGATTTTCATATTATCCACTTGGATGTGGCTGGAGATTATATTCTTTAAATGTCTAGTTAGTATTCGTACAGAAGTATTATAACAAATAACTAAACCTGCAAATTGTCACTGACAGCTTAGTTAATGTATGAAAGCTGCATTAGCTTTCAACAAAACCAATCATTCCATGTTGTCAGTATTAACGCCGTGTATGCAGAAGCGGGTGTAAAGTAACTACTATTCATATTCGGCCCGACCGCAACTATTCGGCCGAATACCGAAAAGTTACTAGGTTCACTATTCGGCCCCGAAGCAAATACAAAGCAAATATCCGGTACAGCCCTAATTATTATAACTGTCCATTTTTAGTGCCATGAGGTTTTAAATAAAAATTATAATTGTTTCATTAAAAAATCCCACAAAATCTAATTTTTACAACCATATTCTATATGGAAAATGAAGAAAATAAAAATAAACACACCAATGTCACTAATGAGGTAGCTGGATTTTGTGAATGTTTTCTAAACTAAGATGAACATAAAAATAAATGTGTGACATATAAGGAGGAATCTTTATCACGTACCGGGTTTTTTTTGGGGGGCTAGAAGTGTTTTCATAAATCAAAACTAATTTGATTGAAGGGAAGTCAACATATGTACATATTATTTATTACAAACTGACTATTGAAATAGTGAAGGAAAAAATTGCTGGTGTTGGCAACTTGAGAAAAAGAATGCTGTAAAACATTCAGTGTTTGCTCTGAAAAAAATAAATGCATTGCAGTGTGCCAAAACACAAGAAGCATACAAATGTTTGATTGATTACAAGCATTATACTGTACATTTGTGGTGGTTTTGAAGTAATACTCTCCCGAAATGTGTGGCTTCACATGCTAAAAGTATTACTCTGTTGAATTATAATTTCCATCACATAGCTGTGAACATAATAATTCAAAGGAAACAACTGTAGCTATTTGGTAAACAAAGGGTTAGAGATAACACACTTTCAGTGCAAAAGATTTGATTTGGTGGTTATAATGTAAACTCTCTGAATACTAAAAATTTCAAAGCGTCAAAAGCTCATTCTGAAATCCCAGCATGGCTTGTCTCTGCAACATGACATTTTATATTGTCTGTTCAGTAAATATACAACCTCTATCATAAACATTTGTGAATACAACTTGGCAACCACTATCATGAACATTTGTGAATACAACTTGGAAGATCCGTGAAAATGTTCTCTGAAAAGTCTCCCTCTGTCATTCAAAATGCAGTTATGGCCAGGTAGCCATGGAAACAAGCTGCAAATATGCATAGTTTAACAATGTATTCTACTCATATGGCCAGCCTGCAATATCACTGTGAAAAAACAGAGGAGGTGAACATTGACATAATATTTACAAACATGACTCACATAATTAATAAATGCTGTGGCAACCCTGAACCATATTAATCACATTTTTCTGGTCATCCATTCAAAGCTTGTAACATTGTTTATTACTAATAACACTCAGAGTTCATATACTTTCCCCATATTACCAGAAAATACACAACGTGCCACAAGTGAAGCCAAACCTGCCAAGTGAGAAATAAATTAGAAGTTAAATTACTCCTTGAGAATAAATCACGGTTGAAAGTATTCCTGGCAACCTGCCCTTCTGGAGATCGGGCAAGTATGACAACGAAGGTTATAATGTTGAGATTCTGATGATATCCTCTTTGTCTGAGGATGAAGGCAAGGACGAACTATGAGCAGGCAGAGCGTTTGGAACAGAATGTGTGCTCCCTGCAGAGTTTGGACTGGAGACTAAAGCTGTGGTTATGTTCTGATGACTGCTAGATGCCAGTTTGGATCCCATATTTGGCTCGCTTCCTGAAGCCATGCTGATGTTTCTCAAATTTCCTGTGAAACTTGCCTGGGAGATATGTTGAATGTTTTGGATGCTGTTAGCTTTGTTGTTGCTGAGACCGTTTCCTTCACGGGTAAAACTTGTGTTGGAAAATCCCTGAACGTCAAGGACGTTGACTGCACTTGACCACGATTCTCTTTTGGAAGCTGAAGATGCTCGCATGCGTATATCGTTAGTCTCCTGATGCTCAACGCTGAAGCGCGAAGGTAAATTTCTCTTCTGAAAAAGACATGAAAGTGCAGTTATCAAACATCACAATTTGTTTTCTTTTAAAAATAAAATGATTAAAACTACCACTTAACTTGAAACAGAACTTTAAAAATGTCCATAAACACTTCATCCTGATCTTCAGCAGCCAGCACAGAGTTCCAGTTCCAATGGTACCAGGTGCTGTCTGATTGTATATCTATCTTGCCTTTTCCCTGAGTCGAGTGTAATAAGATGACCCGATCACTTTCCCCTCCCCCGCCATTTTTTTTCACCATTTTCTTCAGACTATGATGTTATATGTGTGCCTCCAGTCTTCACTTGCTCCCAAAGGGCATTCACAACATGTAGCTTGTCATGCATCAGTTTATTTCCGAGTAAAGAAAAACCAGCCAGTCTGCTTGTCTTTTCATTTACTAACACACCTGCATCCCCTTGGAAAAATAAATGTCTGAAAGGAAGGTAACTATCTGAAGCGATGTTTACCACTCTGCACGAAGTATACCTATCTTTTGCTTTCCCAGCATGCTTTGTGCGAGGCCGTTACAATGAGGACATGTGTGTGTAGCTAGTTCATAAGCCAGCAGAAGACTGTAGTGACCGCATATTGCCTCCATTCTCAAACCAGATGTGATATCATATACCAGGCTTTGCTGTAATAAGGATCGTATATTTACATTTGCTCGCCTCGATGATTAGCTAGATACTTCTCCATATCCTGTCATTTCAAACCCTCAGCCTCTTATTAATTGTGTGTGGGTGTGTGTGTGTGTGTGGCCGGGTGGGTGGGGGTGGGGGGGGGGGATATTCAAGCCCGGAGGTGCTTCTATCTCTTTCCAAACTGATCATCTCTAGCCCTCTTTTTCCAAAACACACCATTCTCAACCCGGTTCAAGCTAAGCGTCTTATTCTTGTTCTTTTGTCAATATCCGCTTATGCCGCTAGGCGTCGCGGCTCATCAGACGATCGGCAGCCAAGCCAGAGCACGCTCAGTCGCTTGATATGCCGTGATGTTATGCAGTCTCAAGCTGTCAGTGACTCCTTCAGTCCATGTTCTTCTCGGTCTTCCTCTGACTCTTGAGTGTACTCAATGCAAATATGTCACAAGCTCACGCTTTTATCTCCAACTTTTGAAAAACGTCTGCAGAACACGGCAATAGGACCACTTCAAAAACTAAAAACAGCTTAACAATATTTTCTGAAACCATTTGGGTTTCGACGTCCTTCTCAAACCGTCGGGGTCTTTTGTTTTAATCATGCTGGGAAACAGAAAAAAAGAGGTGGGGTGTGGAGGTGGAAAAAAGGGGCAAGGGCTGAATAGGAGGAACTGAACTTGAATGGCATGTTTCATGTCAGGAAAGCACGTTAGTTGTATGTACGTTTAGGATCCTTTCCAAGCTGGTGACATGAGTTGAGTTTAGTTAAGTCAAAAATTGACATTACAGCACTCGGGGCATTTCCGTATGTGCTCCGTCCCCATCTTCAATAGCCAGCGCGGAGTACCAATACTAATGGTGCAGGTCGTAGTCTTGTTATATATCCGTGAAATATCTGGCATATCGTAAAGTAAAGGTCCTTTTTCCACGCCTTTAGGCGTATGAGGCTAGACCTATACTTTTATAGACCAATGGCACTTGGTGGGTGATGTAGTCAGCATCACGCCGGTCGCCTTTACTTCCCAGAACTGCACCTGGTACCCACTTAACGCTAGGTCCACCTGGAAGTCAATGCCATTTTTGAAGAAGAAAAAAGTCCAGCTTCGTCTCATATCTGACTACCAACACTACACGACATGGACTTTCAGAAGAACCCCGCGTGGGTTCCCGAGCCACATTTTAGGGTGAGGCGGGGATAGACCACAACTGACTTACAAGCATGTCGTAAAAGGTGACTAATTAGTGTTGTGACCTTCGAAGTCAGAGTTCATCTGCCTGAGAGGCAGGAACCAATTAACTGATTACAAATAAACCAGATCTGTAAAATGGATTTTCATGGAAATACTCCAGTTTTGTAAAAAGGCCAAAGTCCGGAAGTGGACAAATAAACCAGGATTTTCCCCAGGAGATTACAACCGGCGAACGTTATCATCAAGATGATATAATGCCAATATTTTCTGGTCCAATGTTTCTCCAAGCCTTCGACACCAAACTGTTCTATATCCTCTTTCTAGGTGCTGGCTCTCTACGGTTTATCTACAGGCATTGGTAGTCTGAAAGATGAGTGCTCAGAAGGGCCGAATGTCAGACGGGTCTGCCTGCCCAATTTGTAACCCTTCAAAAATAAAGTTAGTTCGTTCGATCATCTTTCTTCTTGACGAGACCCACTTCGATTGTCTCTTCCCCTCCCCCCACCCCCCAATTGCTCCCTCCCCTCGCCCCTTGCTAAATACAAAATTGAAAGAACCTTGTCTACATCTTTGGCCCATCGGATATACAGTGCCAGATCTATAATTGCCGTATGCCAATCGGCACTTGACAGGTGATACGGTCAATGTGAAGCTGGCCGCCTTTACGTTCCATGACATTACTTGTACCCGTTAAAAGCTGAATCCTCTTGGGGACTGCGGTTCATTTTGAGCCACGGTACTTCATTACATACATACAAGTTAGCTGTGTATCCCTTACAAATCACTCGGGGCCTGACCCGCATAGGACAGTAGGTTACAGCTGGCTGATATAGCCGTTACAGGGGCCCTAGTTATAACTTCTTTGGGGGCTGAAGGGGGTATATGGGATCAGTCTTGTTGATCTACCATCCAGATTAAGGTTTTTTACTGCCATGATTGTAGGGGAAACCAATAGATAGCAATCTGAGGGGGGACAATCCTTTATTGGACATTGCACAACCAACCCTAGAATGCGTTGTTTCCTGCTGTTTTACAAAAACATTTTACGTGCATTAGTATGCCATTGCTTTCAAGATACTTGATGTGTCACGGCATTGTCGAACATTAACACACAGAGGGCTGCTACAAAATCGAATGAGGTTGGAGCTGAACCGGATATTTCGGAAACCTCAGCGCCTACGCCACAGACGCCGTTGACATAGTTACATCAATGAAAACAACAACACTCCTGATAGAGATTCGAATACATGACTGCAGGAACGTCATGTAAACCCGCCAGTCGCATTGCCAACACGGATAGCAAGCTTGTGAATCTTCACCCTGAAAAGTCTAACCTCCAGTCACGAACACACGAAACTACCAACCTCCAAATATTGGCTCTTGTTATCAAGGATGAGAAATATTGACTTCTGGTATCGTGTCACTGACGCTTGGCATTACTGACCCCAAGTTCCAGTCTCTCATGGCTAAGGTTTAGGAATGTTTGCTTAAAATACTGGTCTGCTGTACTTGCTGTTTATGAAAACTGGCCTCAAATACTGGGCCTTCAGTCCTTAATGTTTGGGAATATTTGCCTAAATTATTAATCTCCAGATTGATTTATAAAAAATATGAATCTAATTTACCCTGCCCGGTTCAAAACAGGTGTTTAAAGAAACGTTTACTTAATTTAATTATTGGTGTTGAGTTCCTAATGTTTTGTGACATGCTGCTGCTACTAGTACTACAAATACTGATACTACTACCACTACATTTCTACATTAATAATAAGAAGAAGAACTCCACAGGGGAGCATGTATAGCAGGGGTCCACCCATCATCAGTAAAAAGATCCCTCGCCGACGATTGTTTCGGCTCGTTACCATTCCTTTACAATCTCGAAATGTGGGTCCACCTGGGTCATGACTCCTAGGCATCGATCTTGACCTGTTGCACTTCACCGGATGTTCTTGAACAGGGACGATATTGTGACTTTTAACAGGTGTTGTGAGAACTACTGATATTGTCGCTGCGGTAGCAAATTAGATCAGTCGACTATCTTACGATAAGGCGACAAGCTTTCGGTTGTTTCCTCAGACAGATGTTAGACTTGGCATTTAAACTCTGGCAGTCGACAGCGGTACATTGGCAGACATTTCAGACAGTATGATGAAATAACCACTACAATAATAGCAACCATATAAGGCATTACTGGGGCCTAAGAAGGTGAAGTTGGTGGTTTGAAGACACGTTCTTCACTGTAAGCTAATAGGAGACTTATTATAACACTACAGAGACTGCACAGCACGAAGAACCTGCAAGCATGTTAATGTAAACATTGTCAAATCATGCATATCTCCCGTGGCAACTTACAGATGTGAGTCATCGACTCTTGCTCAATCACCGGAGAAGAAAACAGTCAGAGCGTTTGAATTGAAATGCAACAGAAAAACTCTTAGAAAACCATGTACCAAGAAGACGAAAAACACAGGCATTCTACTTGGTCTCAGCATCGAGGAAAATTGACTCATAAACAGCATCCTGAACTGATAGCTAGGGTATTTTGGTCGTGTTTAACGGCTTGGTGTTCTGGAGAGAACGTGTGATGGAGGGTACAGTTTCTGGCAAACGAGACAGAGGTTGACCTCTGCGAAGACGGATCCTCATCATCAGGTGCCTTGCAGACTGACGTGGGCGATCATCCCTCTCTACAATCTGCGATCTCCTGCAACATGGATCAGTTTGTGTGCTGACACACTTCCATGTCATGCAACAAGACTGTCAAGAATCTTCTCTCGTTGTCTTCCTCTGTCCCTCCTTCCACAGATCTTTCCAGTGGTCACAACATGTTCTATTTTCCCTCTTCTCATAACATAGCCAAAAAATTACGACTGTCTCCTTCTGATGTCTGTGATAAGTTGTCTGTCTGCTTCCGCTTCTTTCAAAACCTCTTGGCTGCTCTTTTTGGCTGTCCACGGTATTCTTAGCATTCTTCAGTAAAACGACATCTCTGAGGCCTCAAGAAATTGTTTGGCCTGCCTACCGATTGTCCAGGATTCACAGCCATATGTTAAAATTGGATGTATGTAGCAAGCAAGAATTCTTTTTCTAACTGTCAATGACTAGGAAATATTGCACACAATGTTTTTCATTTTATAAAATGCAATTCTTGCCTGTCCTATTCTGTTTCTTATCTCAGTTATGCATCTTCCCTCTGATGTTATCCATGTGCCCGGATACTTAAATTTCTGTACTTTCCCTTAATAACACCATCGACTTTTATTACACATTTAGGAATAATTCGTTTCTTTGATACCACCATTACTTCTGTCTTCCAATTATTCAAACTGAAGTCCATTCTTTCACAATCTAACACCACGATGTTTATCCTTTCCTGTAGTTCTTTCTGACTTGTTGCTATCAAGACAGCGTCAATTGTTTATATTGTGCCCATCAACCATAATTCCGGGCATTTCAATTAGAGATCTCATTATATATTCACTGTATAGTGAAAACAAATCAGGTGACAGTACATATCCTTGTCGTACGTCCCTCTTTATGCTTTGAAATGTACCTAAACAGTTCTTAATTCGTATAGCTGCTGTTTGCTGCCAATACATATTCTTTATTATTCGTAGATTTGTTTTCATCGGTGTTCAATTTTTCTAACAGTTTGATTACTTCTTCATGCTTCACACAGTCTAATGCTTTTGTATAGTCTATGAAGCATAAGTACAAATCAGTCTTCTATAGCTCTTTCTGACAAAGTCCCTAGGATATATATGGCAAATACGGATGCAAGACACTAAAGATGCCTGACTATGAAAGCATATATGTCTGGATAATTAGCTAGAGCCAGAAAGACTGCTTTTCGTGTCGTGAGGAGAGCGACGTTTTGTTAATGACCTGCTGATTGAAGTTGATGCTGTCATGGAGTGAACAACCAAAACCTACACTTTGGACTATTCGTGACGTTGACGCCCCTAACGGGCAGGTCACATTTCAAATTTAAACCCGTCAGGTGGGTAAATAGTCCCTCATATTGATATATACCTCCATCTGGTGGAATAGTTATTTCTATACCCTCTAGTTGTTTTGATAAGTCTACATTTTCAAACTTACAACTGTGGGATAGATATTTTCTGGATTAAGATCCATAATTCACGGAAGCCTTTTTACCCCTCGAGGCATTAATATCGCGGGCTACTTTCTTTGAAAGGACGCCAGCCTACCGCGTCATTCTCTGTCTGACTGCCAAGAAGAACAGATGTTCTTAAAACAGGCTCGTATAAATATGCTTTGAGGAGGCGGCCTTTGGTGTCTAGGACATTTCCTAAGCTTGGGTAAGTTGATTATAGTTTACGAGTACCATGATATACGTCTCTATAAAGTTGGCCGCTGCTGCAGGGAGGAAAGATTCAGCTGTGTAACCGCACAGAACTAGGCCGTTCTTGGTGTCTAGACACTCAAGCCCCTGAAATCAAACCTTTCCCTTCGCAGGCTAATAGTTTGTGCCCTACATGACCCACAACATTATAAATATATTAAACCCAGCCAGTTAATTATTCTTTAACCAGCCAACAGAGTTGTGTCGATTAGCAGACATATTTAACTAGGTCGCACGTCGGCCAGCTAGGCGCTCTGACGTCAGAGGTTAATTTAGCACAACAACACTGAATGAGCAGTGGGCAGATTGTGGAGGTATAAAATATTTATGTGTGAGAGAGAGAGAGAGAGAGAGAGAGAGAGAGAGAGAGAGAGAGAGAGAGAGAGATAGAGAGAGAGAGAGAGAGAGAGAGAGAGAGAGAGAGAGAGAGAGAGAGAGAGAGAGAGAGATAGAGAGAGATGGGATGTATATCTAAAAGTGCAGAGGTGGGCGAGGAGAGTTGATGTTCTATATTTGATAGAGTCTCCTGTCCCTGTTACTGACTGAACAACAGAGATGATATTTAGAGACTTATACTGTCTCATTATCCTAAGAGCTGTCCTCTGAATGATTACTAATGTGGATGTTAATAGACTGAGCTTGACATGTAACCCCTGAGATGACTACTAATTCTGAGTTCCTTCTTGATACACGATGATATCTCCTTGGAGGCCAGACAGTGAATCAGCGGTCCACAAAACCACCAACAAGGAAGTCACCTATGTCTTAGCCAGTGGTGGGCATCAGATTGTAAACCAAACTTGTGTCATCATTTAATGAAATCATCCAGTTGGTCTACAGACAACATTATGGGTGTTGTACCTTCACCATCATTTATCCGGAAGCTTATTTGTGCTTCAAGTGATTGACTTGGTAAGCGAGATCCTCTCCAGGAGCTTGGGTGTATCTCCAGTGTTCGAGTGTCTGGTGTGGGACTATCTTCAACGTAACAACAGAGTGACTGAACATCCAGCAAGTTCAAGAAACCAGGTATTCAGATAAGTGTGGTCAATCATTGGTTTATTGCCAGGCTTCAATGTTAATCGTCCACATGATCATGATGATGATCTAGGCATACTGTGGGAATCTCTTACACATTCAGTCAGGTCTGTTTGGAAGTTTTGGTCCTGCCTATCACTCTGGGTTCTTGAAGTTCTTTGCTGATTCTCATATAATGTATGTGTTGCATTTATTACATGTTCAGAAAATTTCATTATTGACTTGAGTGTCCATTTTTCACTATTCTAACTGTCTAACTTTTATGTTTGTATGATTAGTAAGTGTAATCTGTGTTAACATGGCTGGGATAGTACACTATCATAGCCTGGGGGCTATCTTTTTATAGTAGTGGGGGTGTCCAGCCAAGTTGTGCCTAGGATTACTAGATATTCTGTAGTGCCAGAACTTGAGTTGCCCTACTCCTGAAATAAGTTTAGTGTATATTGGCCACGGGATATCCCTTAGATCAATACAAGCCGACGCCTCAACATTATTTATTTCAGAGTGCTGTTGGTTCTTGAGGAGAAATCCTTAAATCTGGCACACGACACGAGCGGTATGTGACAGATGCTGAAACTGAAAGGCAGGAGCATCTGCAGCAGATGGAGAAGAATATGGAGGGATAAAAAGAATAATAAGAAAAGAAAGGAAGTGGAGAAAAGAGGAATGGGAGTTGTAGAAGAAAATGGAGGAGATAGAAGGAAGGATGAATTATAGATAAAAAGATGTAGCACAAAGAGCTGAACAAAGATAAGAAAGAAAAAAGAAAAAAAAAGAAAGAAAGAAAAGAAAGAAAGAAGAAGAAGCAAAATGAATGAAAAAAAAAAGGAGGGGGGAAATAACGAACAAGAACATACTACAAACAAATACCTTTTCGTGCATGAGTTTTCGAGAAGATGAAAACTTTTTCCCACAACATCCCCGCTTTGTAGTGGATATAAGCGACGGATCTGGCGATGGTGGTGGTGTCTCTGATGGTTTGGTTGGTGGGCCGTTGAAGGTCATCTCCATTTCTACAAACTCCCGATCCTGAAATATTAACAGAGTTGTCCATGAGTTGGGTTGATACAAAAACCGACATTACAACACTCAGGGAATTCCCATAAGCACTTCGTTCCCATCTTCAGCAGCTATTTATATTATGATTAAACGTCCGTCTTGCCTTTCCTCTGAGTGTCGAACATCGGCCAGAAATCCTCGTCACTCCCGCTGTATCAATTTTCCCAGACTGTGATGATCCATTTGCTCCTCTGAATTGTACACATTTCCCCAACGTCTGCCTCATCATGCATCAATATTCCACCAAGTTGTGCAGAGCCGGCCAGTCTGTCCGCCAGTTCATTTCCCAATATGCCGGCGTGTCCCGGAAAAAAGATCCAGAGAATACAACTCACCCGTGACCTCTGCAGTGAAGCATGCCGCTGCACGAAGCCTGCCTGTCCTGACCTAAATACATATCATATAAAGAATCAAATCATCTAAAGAAAGTCGCCTTCATCAAGGTAGACTGGACATATTTCTTACCTAACCGCTTGTCTTGTTATTTTCCTTTTCAGAAAACCAGTTACCGTCCTCTTCACTGATAACACCCATATCTTCTACCATTGATAACTTTATCGGGTGTGAAATTAAATTAATTCACTGAGTCCCACAAGCTTTCGTATGATCATCATTTTTGCTGGCACATCAATGACTTTTGGAAGACTTTGTATCTCCCATTGATTCTTCTTTCTCTATCTGAAGCTGTCACATGCCAGGTTTAGCACAAGTAGCATGCTTTTGCCAGGGAGAATGTTCGGCCAAACTACAAGTAACCCAGTGTAGACAAATCCAGTAGCATCGTGTGACTTCTTTAGAACTGTAAGCACACCTGGCAATAACGTCGACTGATACCTCCCACCCACATTTATATGCTACAGACAATGAATCTGTATAATTTCTACCAATAAACGATTTGATTATCAGTAAGTCTTCACACAGTTACAGTCATTGCATTTGATGTTCTTTCCGCAAAGACATTACTAAAGTATTTCAACACAGAAATATACACATGTCTGGGTGATAAGTACAACCATTCTTATGAATGTCTGTTGTGAACTAAAAGGTGTATTTAATTAATGGCTGCTCCACGTTTTATGTATGTTATCACAATCAATGTCTTTACACATCGGGCCCTCCCGCTTGCCCTTAAGTTCAACTGTAGCTATCGTTTCAAACTTGTAGTTTAAAACTATTCCTTGAAACGGATCACAGTTTGATGACTAATCGAAAAGCTTAAAATTGATTTCATTATTTTGCGAACGCGCTTCGTAATGCCCGGGTGCTGGGTTGGATCCCTGCTGCGCACGATTTGTCTTGCCCTGGTTTCGACCGTGATACAGAGAGCTGACCGTTAAGAGGCAATAGGAAACTACTGAACGTAAAATTTGCCTAGAAAAACCACAAAAGCCAATACATGCTGTGGCTGGCTCTGCTATACTGTGCACAGCCGGCATTTGCTGCTCACGCTTTGCGAACGCTCTTCTTAATTCCGTGGTGCCAGGTTCGATCCCTGCTGCAGGTGATTTGGCAGTGGGTTTTAACAGTGGTATCAAAACTCTGCCGTTTAGGGAGGCAATGGCGAAATTCTGAGCGTAATTGCCCAGTGAAATCACAAACAATTAAAAAATGATGGGATTTTTTCAGCAATGTCGTTTTAAGAAAAGGCAAACTTAACGTTTTCTTTTTAAGAGTATCCTACAAGTTTACTGTAGCTGATAAATATAAAAATATAATCTAAATATTTGTTGTTGTTGTTATCTGTAAGCACTGCTTGTAAGGACGCCGCAATACTTTAATGAATGCAGACATAATTCATGTACCTACCGTTGTTTTCTCTAAACAGGTTAACAAGTGATGATGCTGCAATAGGAAAATGTCTTCTTTAAAACTGTCATCCACCTCCACCCCGGCTTCCCTGGCAACCAATGCTTCTTCTGCCCTCTTCTTGGCGCTGATAAACCCAGCACTGCTGGCATTCTTTGTCATGTTGATTCTGGTTTCCCGCATTTTCTGTGGGGAGATGCATGGAGATATCAACTGCTTCAAGTCAACCAACATAAGTACTCATAATAATAATATTTAAAAGAATTAAAAAATTATTTACATTAGGCAACCGAGGTCGTGTTACATGGAAACACAAACAATCAAACACAGTGGTTCCGGAAAGACCACCAATGAAAATATAATTATAGAAATATCTTTTTTTTAAAGACTTGAAATATTTTGTTCACATTCAAAGAAGAATACGCCTTTAAAAGCCATACTGAATGGAAAGGTCGAGGACAAGAGAGCTAGAGGTAGACAATGTTACAGGTGGTAGGAGAGTATGAAGAGATGGGCAACTGCAGTGTGAGAAAGAGCACAACGAAGACAAGACACCGAGCGTGTTGGAGATTCATCGAAGCCAACCTGCATTAATGAGACACTACCTGATTGACTGAACCTACTCACGTGTGCCAGGGATGGGTACCAGAACGACTTTCAGTAACATGCAGAGTGCAGCCAACTACCTTGGTGATCTCATTAACAATTACACACAAGCATGTAGCTCTTTAAAAGATCACACTGTTTCCTTTCAGTGGCGGATCTCTATAAATAATAATATGGTCTTAAGTTAGCACACTTCAAGACTTTGCAATTTTCTTCGGAACAACACTATCGAAATATTGCCCATCATGTTCCAAAGTATCTGGGCTTTGAAAACAAAGCGTTGATACAGTGAATCAAGTCTTTGAAACTGACAGGCACTGACCGTTTCGAACGCCATATTAGCTTTAGAGGTACTTAAACTGATGCTTCTGAAAGAAGAGATAGCTGACAGACAGCTAAAAGCTGGACCTGATGACGTTTACGGCAACAACAAAAAACTGCTCTTTTTATCTTTTCTTTACTATCCTGGGATGTAGGCTCGTCTGGCGGACTGTTCTGCCCTTCTTCGGATGAGAACGAATGGGTTTGGATGCGGGACCATAACCTTTATCCTGTGAAAAAAATTGTTAGGCTGACTAGCCTTTATCAGCAAATGAAGAGAATCAGTACCCTTTAACCCCCTTTTTCTATGGCAACTACAACGAAATAAGCACGTTATCGAATTTAAATATTATTAAACAAATGAGAAAGAAAGGCCTTAAAAAAAAAAAATAATAATTATTCCGAGAGACTTTATTCTATGCAGCATAATAGTCTTCGCGAAGATTTAGTGATTCTTTATTTAAACCCACTTGGAATTGGGACTGTAATATAAGAATTGTTACAATCTTAAATCTAATTGTGTCTAAACTATGTCTAAAAGCCGTCTTTGAAAAGAATAAAATCTCCACCTAGCGTTTAATGCCCCCCCCCCCCCCCCCCCCCCCCCCTTTTTCCCCCCTGTCGTGAGGTGAGCAGTCACCCTACATAATGGACGAGTAGGGATTCTGAAGTTCCCTACGCGGACAGTAAAATTTCAAACTTGAACTCTTCCAGAAGGGTATACAGTCCCTTATATCGATCTATACCTTTATCTGGAAGGATATTCATTTCTAGACCTTCTAGTTGCTTTGATAAATCTTCATTTTCCAACTTGCAACTGTAGGTTGGCGAATTCTGGTATTTTATTTAGAAATTCCTGTGAACCGGTTTACTGCTTAGGCAGGATTACAAGGGAACTTCTTTCTTAGAGACGCTAGTACTTTCATCCTTTTTAGGACGAAATTTTTTGTCATTTGAAGCCCTACTCTGGCTTTTGCCAGGGGCCGCAATATAGGCAGGTCATACATATGGCCAAATGTCTGAACGCGGTTTCTGGAACCTCTCCACGGCGATCCTCATCCGCATGGTGGCACTTTGTGTCATCGGGTGTTTATCGCTTGTGTGATATCCTGGTGGGGTAGAAAGTCAGTCAGTCAGAGACGCTAGTTTGATTTTGAAAAAAAAAAAAAAACATTCTGCCACCAGATCCCAGAGTGTCAAGACGTGTATACAGTCGAAGTAGAAATTTGGCGCATTCTAAGTTCCATTTCTATATTGAAAGATTTCCTAAGCTTGGGTAAGTTGATTATAGTTTACGAGTACCATAAATGATGTCTTTTTAAAGTTGGCCACTGCTGTAGAGAGGGCAGAGTCAGCTGTGTGATCGCACATAGTTCGACCGTTCTTGATGTCCGTTCTGAATAGGTAGACAGCATTAGGAAATCAAACATAACCTCACTCACCTGAACCTACACACCCAGCCTTAAGGAGTAACGGGCAAAGAACGAGACGATAAACTGACAGGTAATACGACACATCATGCTTGACAGAATTATAGGCATAGTTGGTAGGTATCATCAATGTCGTAAGGACTAGACTGGTGGTGGATAAAGACAAGTCACAGACGCTAACCTGATTATGTGACTTGGAGTAAGGCCTGACGAAGACCTTCTTCGCCGTCATCGAGATCTAGATTATCATTATCATCATCATCGTCATCATCATCATCGTCATCATCATCATCATCATCAATCGGCAGGCATTTTACGCAAAGTCATTCTCCATGCGTAACCAACCACTGGAGTGCGCATGCTCCTGTCACTAACGACCCGGCAATTCACTTCTGAGTATGATAGCCACCGCGCAAGACAAGTCTCTCTGCGTTCTTAAGCACTCCAGTGGTTAGTTACCCAACTGTTCTTAGCCGGTAGGGTTCGAAACTTTACACCTTCCCCTCTCTCTTGTATGTATATTATTATTATGTAATGTATATCTACGAAGTTGAGTTGAGTTGATAAGAATTGACATCACATCACTTGGGGCATTCCCATGCATGCTCCGTTCTCATCTTCAGCAGCCAGCGCAGAGTTCCAGTACTGATGGTACCGGTCACAATCTGCCTAAATGTCCGTCTTGCCTTTCCTCTGAGTGTAGTCAGCCGACCAGACCCTCTGGTTACACCCAGGTGCCTAATTCTCTCCAGGCCATAATAATCTTCTTTCTCTACTGATTCCGTTGCTTGTTCTACGGAAATATACATGAATGAAAGTGTATCCATTATTTCGAATAATCCTGTATTATAGTGCTCGTGGGCTATGTTCATGGTTACTATACAAATTGTCACTTGTCCTTAGCTCTTTGTGCTGTTCCTGTTATCTTTGGCTCTTTTTGCTGTTCCTGTTGTCTTTTGGCTCTTTTAGCTGTTTCTGTTGTCTTTGGCTCTTTGTGCTGTTCCTGTTGTCTTTGGCTCTCTATGCTGTTCCTGTTGTCACTGGCTCTTTGAGCTGTTTCTGTTGTCCTTGGCTCTTTGAACTGTTCCTGGTGTCCTTGGCTCTTTGTGCTGTTCCTGGTGTCCTTGGCTCTTTGTGCTGTTCCTGTTGTCATTGGCTCTTTGTGCTGTTCCTGTCGTTCTTGTCTCTTAGAGATATTCCTGTTGTCCTTGGCTCTTTGAGCTGCTCTTGTTGTCCTTGGCTCTTTGAGCTGTTACCGGTGTCCTTGGCTCTTTGCTCTCTGTAGGAATGCAGAAGTCGCTTTGGTCCAAAGGAGCTCTTGTGTGACTGAATTTTATTTGGTTTTTTTTTTTTTTTTTTTCAACGGATCAACATCATGGCACACGGATGTAACCCATAAATGCTCCGTCCTACATCTAATTCAAGCCTGAGTCTGACGAATCTCGTGCAGTGTAAGAACACCGTTGCACCGGCGAGGATCCTGAAATATTTTGGGTAGATTTTTATTCCCAAATTGTGCCCGGGCAGCGCCTTTAGGCTACTGAAGTAAACCAGTAAAAACACTATCGAGATTTTGTGTAGGCACATAGGGAATGATTAGAATTGAGAAAATTCTTCGGACACAAACAGGCAAGCTGTTATCGGGTAAGCAGCATACTAACGTTTATATCTATGCACCGACTGCCTGTTCAGAACAGACTCAAGGAATTTGGACTGAACCTTGTATAGAAGTCCTTAACAGAAATGAACAGAAAAATAAGACACTGAACCCCTTCGAACTCCTTAACAAATCGAAGAAAGGAAACGCAAAAGAGCAACTCTAAACAATAGAAAAACTAGAGCTGTTGAAGCCAGAGCTCGTGTGAAGAAAAGAAAAAAGAAAAGTAAGTAGATAAGAAAGTTACTGACGGTGGATAAAAGGTAATTAATGTGCAGATGACTTAGCAGACGAAGCGAAGACAGCAGCAGAAGGAAGCCGCTGAAACCTTAACAGGAGCTAAAGGAAAACGCTGAAGTATAATCATACTCTACATAATTTTGTCCCCCCCCCCCCCCCCCCACACTCACACTTTTCTTTTCTCCCGTATCACATACTACAAAATGCACTGAAGCCAACTTTAACTGTAGAGACGGCACATTCATATACAGCATAAGTCTCTTACTTTCTTAATTAAGTACTGCTCTTTAAACTCTTCTACATGCCCGGCTCTCTAGCGAAGTTGGTTAAACCTGATTTTCGCGGCGGCCGGGTGACGAACTCCTTGTGGTCCGGGTTCATTCCCGGGGGTAGGCAGAAAAGCCACATTTCTCCCAGATTAATGGTACCTATAATGGAATCAAGGCCGAAGGGTTGCGATATCCATAGTACCGAGCCAAAGGGTTTACAACTCATGGTTTCTGGATACGTAAAAAAAAAAAAAAAACTCTTCTACTCTCTTCTGTCGGTCTGATCTTCTAATATACCTTCCTCTGTGTGCCAAATTTTCTTGACCGTTTAATTATGTTTCGATGGACAGTCTTTTTATCTGCCATGTTGTTCTTTGTCCTTCACATCCACTCATTTACTTTCTTATAGAAGTGTTTTTTAATGCCTTTTTTTTAAATGTGTCAAATCATCTCTTATGTTTCCTTTTCTCCCCGCGTGGGTTCTGGGGCCGCACTGAGTGTGGGGGGGGGGTGGGGTGGGGGGGGGGGGGGTTGATACACTTCCTCCCTACCAAGCATGTCGTAAACGTCAACGAATTAGGGGTTCCTTTGAAATCGGGGTGCATGTGCCTGAAAGGCATACAAACACGCCAGATCTGTCAAAAGG